GTCTGTCCTCATATCCAAAAAACTCCCTGGCCAGCTGCTGAAGCTCCACAGCTGGCGCGAACTCCTCCTGAACCGGTCACAAAGTCCGGCCATGTCATAGCCTCAACCCGAGGCTCCCAGAGAGTCACCAACGACTCCCACCAATCCCTGGCCCTGTCTCTCAAGCACCCTGCTGCATATCTCACCTTCGACCCTCGGGGCAGAAGCTGGTCAACTGTGCAGATTCAATGTCTGAAATCCACCGTCTGGCCACAATGGGGTCCGTCGCCCATGGAAATCCGACGCACCACTGCCCCTAAAGTCCTTAAAGGACAGTGGTGCGTGATCCTGACTGGCTGGTCGCCATGTCGCTCCTGACGCCCGGAGGCGATCCTCCATCGCTCGACAATCCCTTCCTTGATCGACCCAAAGATGACCGGGTCGCATTAAGGATGCCTCTAGTGATCTCGGACGCGATGAACTCGCGTAGCCCTCTCATCCACGGGTTCGGACCTGAGCCCGAACCCGATCCTCTCTCCTGAACTGCCAACTGCTGGCCTCGAACGTAGTACCACCATTCTGCAATACATAATACAACCGTCAGTGATACTGATACATCTAGAGGGATTACACCCATCACAAGTTCCCTGGTCTTGCCTCAACCTTCTTCGATTCAAGTACGGATCCTCTGCTTTCAGTAGTACGGGCCCATATTACCTTCCACATCTATTCGTACTTTCCTCAAGAACTGCCTCGACTCCACCAAGTCCCTTCTACTACTACTGATCTCTGCTACTCTCATCCTCTGACTCTACCCAAACCAGTCCTCAGCTGTTAAAGGCCTCCTCGTAATGCCAATTAGTCATCACCTGAATACCATCACATGTGACGAGGCTCAAATAATCCTTATTGTAAAGACTCGTCCCTACAACGGTTAGACTCAGACAAGAGTTGCGCAATAGGGCCAAATCCAGCACTCTGAGATTATTCAACCCTGATCACAGGTGACGTGAACGTATCCACCTAATGGCTAACTCCCATCACTCAGAGTCCCACCATAGCACAAAGCGTGCAACATTCAACAAAGGAATGAACTCAGCAATCCTATCTCAAACAGAAACTGTACTAGCATACAATGCTAAGCTCATACCATCAAGTAATAACCTAAACAGACTATCCTCCTACTGCGGTCTACTCGATAGCATGCAATTCTCATAAGCTGAAACACATAAGCAAGGCACATAAGGCATCCATTCCTAGATCCTTATCCTATTCTAGCATGCTGTTCGACTGAGCTGATAAACATACATAACCTTGTATAGGTACTTTGGGGAATACTTACTGGAGCTCGGCTGGTCGCGCAGTCACATCACACACTTCGTTTCTTTCTCAAAACTCCTTTACTTATCTTTTAGAAAACCATTTTCTTGTAAAAAGCTTTTAATCCCTCGATTTGAGTCCCAGACACCCGAGGGTGTGTCCGAATCCTCAAACCAGGGCTCTGATACCAACTTGTAACATCCCAAAATTTCGAGTCCAAAAATTTCATTTTTAATTAACTGATTATAAAAGCATTCATAAGAGAACCACATAAAAGATATCATTCCGTAAATCAATATATCATGTCTGAAGACCCAAGTCATAAAATAGCATCATATCAGAGTACAATCCCAGAATATCTCAAGTGCGGAAAATCAATGCGAGTGTGTATGATGTGCTGCTACCGCGCCATCTACTTTCCCTTCGCTGAAGAGGTACCTGAAACCAAAACTATAAACTGTAAGCACGAAGCTTAGTGAGTTCCCCCATCGTACCGCATACCATACAATCACATAACATACATATACTGTCAGACATATCTGGGTGCCCGACCTACCCCTTCGGTCCTCTCGACCGGATACTGCCTAGCATATCTGGGTGCTGGCCTCCCCTTCGGTCCTCTCGACCGGATACTGCCCAACATATCTGGGTGCTGGCCTCCCCTTCGGTCCTCTCGACCGGATACGGGAGACTATTTCACCCCACTACTACTACCACATAACATGTAACACATAATCATATTCTATCTAGCATGACTGGGTATAACTTCCCCCTTCGGCCCTATCGACCGGAAATCTTGGGGACTATTTCCCCTACTACTAACATCATATCATACTATCACATAACATAACAGGTAGTAGCAAACCTAGATGAATATCACAAAGACAATCATCTATCATACAACTCCTACTGGTGGGCCGACGTTGTGGCCGTAGACCCACCGCGACTGGAAGGTAACTCACCTCGTACGAGTAGCTGCTGATAACCTGCGCGGGAAATCTCTGTCTGCGGCTGCTCCGGAAATCCTCCGACTATAATCCCCACAAAACACTCAGTCAGAATCTGATATCTACTTCTAGGGTAAAATGACTGTTTTACCCCTGACCAAGTCCAAGTCAAGGCCAAAGTCAACTTCCAGTTGACCTGACTCGCCGAGTTGGGCCGCCAACTCGTCGAGTCCTTATTCTTTTAACTGACCTCATCTACGACTCTACTCGTCGAGTTTAGGAATGACTCGACGAGTTCTCCTTCCATACGAACCTCGAATGAACCTTCATCCGACTCGTCGAGTTGTATGAACAACTCGTCGAGTCCATCTCCATCCTATGAACAAGTCCTGTCCTCGACTCGCCGAGTTGTATGAACAACTCGTCGAGTTCATCCTCAAGAGTTGGGAGATTGCCTTGGACTCGCCGAGTCTGTTCATGCACTCGCCGAGTCCTATGAACTCCAGGACTATGGCTTATCCCAAAACGTTAGGTTACTCCTCCGGACCCTCTAACACCTTTCCAACACTCCAATGGGTCTCCTTGAACCATAACAGAAAAGGGGAGTCTACCCTCGGACTCGCCGAGTCCCAAGAACGACTCGCCGAGTCGATACAGTCCAAGTCTTATTTCTTCGATTTCTGGCGTACAACTCTTGTCCAAAAGGTAGATCTGGGTCCCTAAACTCGATCTAGCACGTAAAGTTACGAACTTTACGTGCATGCATGGGACTTAGAGCCTAAAAGGCTCTAAAAGGGACTCTTGAGTTGCATGGGGACTTCCATGGGTGCAAAAGCAACCCCTTTCTGCCTTGTAATTCCTCCATGGACTTAGATCCGAAGCCTCTACCCCCAACCATGCTTGCAATCATGGTTGGTTACCAAGAATGGCTTATAAAAGCCTTAAATTTCCCCAAAAAGGGATCTAGCAAAAGAACAAGCAAGGTATCGACTTTATACCTTCTGTGAACTGCAAATGGTGCACAAACTTGAACTCCCTTGGTCTCCTCTTGATTCCTCTAGGCTTTTCCTTCTCCTTTGAATTCAAAAATCACCAAAAAGCACCACAAAAGCCTTAGCTCTTATACAAACGGCTAGGGTTTGCTATGGGGGTTTTCTGGAAGCAATAGGGACGAAGGGTGGCTGAATGAGATGTTTAAATAGGGTGCAAACCCTTAGATTAGGGTTTTGTCCAGTCAGAGCCTACTCGTCGAGTCTGCAGCCGACTCGACGAGTCCGCCATTTAAATCCCGAATCAAATCCGTTTCTACTCGACGAGTTGGTCCTTCAACTCGCCGAGTCCCAGGCCAAAAATGCAAATTACTTAAATAAAATACGTACCAGGAACTAGGTGCTACAAATCTCCCCCCATTATTTTATACTTCGTCCTCGAAGTCTGCTGCTCGCTCCTGGAAAAGCTCTGGGTAATGCCTCCATCATCTCATCCACGACTCCCAAGTCCATTCTGAGCCCTTCCGGTGCTGCCTTGCACCTTTACCAGCTCGACCCTCTTGTTCCTCAGATCCTTCGACTTCCGGTCGAGGATTGCTACAGGTCGCTCAATGTAATTCAGGCTGTCATCGACCTGAATATCCTCTAAGGGTACCACTGCTGAGTCGTCCACCAGGCACTTCCGCAGCTGGGAGACGTGGAATGTGCTGTGGATCTGACTGAGCTCGGCTGGCAGGTCCAGCCTATACGCCACTTTGCCCACCCGGGCTATAACCCTGAAGGGTCCAATATACCTGGGGCCCAACTTGCCCAGCTTCCTGAATCGGATGACGCCCTTCCATGGCGACACCTTCAGGAGAACCATATCCCCGACCTGAAACTCCAGGTCTGATCGGCGCTTGTCGGCATAACTTTTCTGCCGACTCTGAGCAGTCTGAAGCCTGCTCCGTACCTGCTGAATCCTCTGTCGTCTTGAGCACCACTTCGGTGCTCCCCAAGACTCTCTGGCCAACCTCACCCCAACATATCGGGGTCCTGCACTTCCTCCGTATAAACATCTCGAAGGGAGGACGGTCAATACTCGTGTGGTAGCTGTTGTTGTACGAGAACTCAGCCAATGGGAGGTAAGTATCCCAACTACCACCGAAATCTAACGCTCCACTTTTAGTTCTCGGGTTCTCGGGAAACTATGAGTTCTCAACCGATCTCACCCGTATATATATATATATCTATATATATCTATATATATATATCTATATATAGATATATCTATATATCTATATATATATATATATATATCTATATATATATATATATATTCTTTTTATGTTATAAAACGTTGTTACTTGATTACACTCCAATTGCACATGATACCACATCAATGTGGTGGTCACACAAAGTGTATAAATAATTCATTAAATAGTTGTGTTTGACCAATTATGTAGTATAAAACTTAAAACTCAGAAGAAAAACATATTTAAAAAAAAGTATTTTTAAATTTACCTAAAATACCGTAATAATTCCATATTGTCTCCTATAAAATCCCTTTACTGTAAAACGATTAAACGAACCTGCGCACTGGCTCGAACCCTTCATTCCTAATTCAAAAAACAACCAGTTTTAGATAGCCAGTTACATCGTTCCAGATGATATGATCATGCCATTCACTTTACTGTTTCATATGTTCAAATGAAACGCTTCAAAGGTATGTTCCATAGACATTAATTAACCTTTCGGTTATATCATCAGTCATTTCCAGGTGCCGATGGGAAAGAAAAGGTCTTGGTTTGGTTTCTTGAAGAGATTATTGATTTGCAAGGCCCAATCGACCAAAGAGAAGGTGTGTTTATCGTTATACTGTATATGACTATGAGCATCTGTTAAAAAACTGATATCATATATATATATAATATATATATATATATATATATATATATATATATATATATATGCTGTAATTAAGCCTGTAATAGTATCATAATCTTACGTTTAATTTTGAGCTGGATTATAATTTTACAGGGAGGAAAGAAAAGCAGATGGTGCTTTGGGATGTTAAAGACGAGTCGCCATTACCATGCACTCGAAACACCGGATCAGGCAAAAGTAAACGATCATAAGGAAGAGCAGAAACAACACACATTGGCACTTACCGTTGCTATGACAGCTGCGGCGGAAGCAGCGGTGGCAGCTGCTAATGCAGCGGCGGAGCTTGCCAGGCTCGTGAGGTCTCCCCAAGACCTTGAATGGAGAACCCGCTATGAAGCAGCCATTAAAATTCAATCTTTTTATCGTTCACACCTGGTATATTATACATATACCAAGTTACTTCAGATTCTATTGTCTTAAAAGTTATAATATCTTGTTAGAATAAACGAATACGGATTTTGAAGTATATATAATATTTCGAATTCCATGGGGTTGACGCAGGCAAGGAAAGCTTTGATCGGATTAAGGGGAGTAGTGAAGCTTCAAGCTGTGATTCGCAGTCAAATCGTGAGACGAAAATTCTTAAACATTTTGAAAAACACGCAGCGATCTAAAGTTCATCAAATATGGGTTCCTACATTCGATAAAATCTGTAAGATCGGTATAGACAAACAAGATATTTGTAGCCCACGAATGTCGATCAGGAGAAACGGTAACGTTCTAGAAGATCCAATAAAGTCTAATAAAATGTATGAAACACAGAAGAAACTGCGATTTGGGGATAAAAATCATATAGAAGAACACCATTCATCACCATCTTTTAGATCCCGAATGTCGAATAATGGCAAAAGGCACTACCATTTATCGCCTGATCGGTCAGATGAGAAGTCGTTGCCGAATTCACCAGTTTTTCCGGCTTACATGGCGACTACTGAGTCGTTCATGGCAAAGGCTCGATCACTGAGCACCCCAAGACGAAGGATATCGTTTCTTGATCATGGGTACTGCACTACTCATGGTTCCTCCTGCGGTATGCCCATGCTTTCTTCATCATCATCGTTTAATGGTGGTGTCAAAGGCAATTACAGGCACATGCATCTATTATGAATTAAAAAGGTCAATTGTTGGGGGTTTTCATTTGAGCTCCTTTTTGAAACGGATTATTTGATTGCTTGAATTCTATATTACTATAATATTAAAATTTGATATTTGGATAATTCTTTTAAGATAAGTTATAGTATTTTTTAAAACTTATTCATTACAATTATCAAATAAGTGTTTAGGTCCATAAGGTTTTTATTTCTCGCATGATTAGTCCTTATGGTTTTATTTTTTTTCATAACTGATTTGAAATTATTATTTTACCTTAGATTAGATTTATTATTAATTTTTATTTCTTTGTAATTTTAATTTAATATTTAGAAATATAAAAAATTAAATTATAACCTATTACATCTAACTATCAACCCCATCATTTTTTTTCTCTTTCTTCTTCCATCATCCGTCACCACCACAAGTCACCTTACCCCACCATCATCACCAACCATCATCCACCATCATTAATTTACTGCTAAAATTACTATCAAAACAAATCAATACGATTGCAAAATCACAAATTATGAAATTTCATTACATGATGCAAGTAACTACAAATTAATTTTTGGTATCTATCGGGGAAGAGGAATATCATCGATTTTTGGATATGTTCTTTGTTTTTTTGTGAATCCAGATAGAATTAACTGACATTTGGGTCTGGTGGAGAAGATGAACACCAAACATCAAAAAATAAAACATGCTTTTATTTATTTATGCGGTTACGTCAGGTTGTGTTTGGATATGTGATGTTTTAGATTTGATTGGATTTGAACATAGTCTAATCAAGTAAAAACACAAGAATCAAAAGAGAGAAGAAGAACCTTTACGACAACGTTTTTCCTTCTTTCAAGAATACCACCGCCGCCCATTCTCCAATGGAAGAGACACAAATATTAATAAACTATAGGAGAAGCCGACAGAATGAAGGGTGGGTTTGAAGGCTAACGAACGTGGATGAGACGAGATTTAACCTGCAACCTTTGTCTCAACCAATAGTTGTTGGTGAAGGTGATTTTGAAGCTTCATGACCACCATGAGCAACGTAGTCGCCTACATAGGCGGTGGGAGGCATTTAAATTTGGCCTTCAAGGTTAGAGGATGAGGATAGGGAAGAGGGGCGGTGATGGTGTGGGGTTTCATCATGAACATCATGGAGTTCATTGTGGCTAGTTGTATATAGAGAAGTGAGTGTTAGGCTTCTCTAATGTGTTACGAGAGTGAGAAAGAGGAGTAGGAAGAGAGTAGAGAGGGGAAGGGGAGATAAAAAGTTTTTTTTTATTTTTATCGAAAAATAAACAAAAGTGTAAAAAGAATAAAAATGGGCAGTAAAGTAATTTATATGCAATAAGGACCAATCATGCAAAATAAAACCACAATGAACCAATGTATAGCGTGTTTGATATTGAATCAATGTGTTTGGATAACTACAAAGACAAACCACGTAATATTTTGTAACGTCCCATTTTCACAACCAAAATTTTTCATTTTCATTAAGGTAAAACTTCACAATTTATAAATTTATTATTAAGAAAACCGTTTATTCCAAATTACATTTATTAAAAATCAGAGTATCATAGAAAATGCGAAATCCTCAATGTTGCTGATGAGTGTGTACAGTCCCGCCTTCGCCTTTCCATAGACACCGATGATACCTGAAACAATAAATAACTGGATAAGCGTAAAACTTAGTGAGTTTCCCCCAAAATACCACCACACAAACGGATAACATATACAATCAAACATGTCGGGTCCAATCAACCATCGGGTTGGAATACCCCAGGCCCAATCAACCTCCAAGTCCAATAATTATCGGGTTGGAATACCCCAGGCCCATCAGCCTGGAATACCCAGGGTTTGTTGGCCTACCGCCTCAACCCTACCACTCTTCCCGATCCTCCGTGCCTACGACTTACAGTCGGCCCGCACCGGGTATCTTGGCCTACAACACAAAGCAGGACTGCCTCAACCCAAACCAAACACAACATGTGGACATGTGAACAATCAAGGATCAAGTAGGCACATAATACAGACAACATCACTCATACATGTCACTACTGTCTACTAGTACTCTCACAACATACAGTCCTGCTACCAGCTAACCTCCATAAAATGCGTAACCATAAGTAACCAGATGTGAGATAGCCATCCGTATAGATGATCCTACTCTAAAGACACAACCAAACAAGGAACATGCAAAAGAGCCTAGACCAAGAGTTCTCAGAATATCCTACATGACCACAGACAGTCCCGTAAAGGCACTCCATAGATGACAACCAACAAGCACATATAACATATAATTCTACAAATTATTACAACAAAGCAACATACTCAATATCAGGAGACATATCTAACATATCACTACAACATAGCAGCATACTCGATACCAGAACACAAATCTAATAGATCACTACAACATAGAAGCATACTAAATATCAACAATCTAAGGAATGCATGGCCGTATATACTCAGAGGTGGGATAGTCACTCGGACAGGTGATTCTACTCTAGAACCACAACCAAACAATTAGCCGGTAAGAGAGTTTAGATCAAGAGTGCTCAGTCTATCCTACATGACTATATACAGTCCCTAAGGCATCCCTCTACTAACAGATAACCAAAAGTTGTGGGCCGGCATGGGTGCCTTCGACCACGGGTACAATGAGGCGAAACTCACATCGATATGTGTGTAGGAAACCACCGTAGCAACGAAGAACTCTACCAGCTTCAACTCACTTCCAATCACCTACATGAAGTAACTAGAGTCAATCCCCGATCAGTCGATCACAGGTCATAGTCACTTCCAACAATGACTATTTCACATGAAATGACAATTAGGGTTCCACATAAAATGACGATTAAGGTTAAGTAAGGACACTTAACCCATTAAGGACTTAATCACCTAAGGGTAGGATTGATTAAGGTTTGACTTAGTCATTCTCGGGTATAATAATAATCCAAGCAATAGCCCAAATATGCTCCCGATCATTGTCCAAAATAGAGCTCCCCGATTCTAGGGTTTTCCACATAAAATCATAACTAGGGTTAGTGTTCCACACTTAACCCATTAAGGAATTAATTCATTAAGTCCAATACTGCATTAAGTTAATTGTAGGGCAATACCAAGTATAATTCAAAGTTTAATTGACAGTTTTAACGCGGGTCCCGACAAAACTCCAAAACTAGGGTTTTCTTGACATTAGGGTTTCTAAACCCTAATTAGGATTTCCAACCCAAACACGTGCCACTCAGACTAAAGTTAGATGTTTAGGTAATTTAATGTTTAATAAGTCGGGCACCACCCACTGCCACCTCGAGCAGTGGTGATTGGCGGTGGTCCGTGGCGGCAACCACCCATACACAGCGGCGGTGGCGGTTTCGAGTGATAAATCCAACAACCAAGCACACATAAAAGTTCCTACATCATACGTACACACACACTAGCACCAAAAAGAATACAAAAATGCCCAATACAGCCACCGAGATGGTGGCAGACGGTGGCAGCTACCACCTCACGATGGTGGTGGCGGGTTTTCTTCGGTTTTCCGGCCAAGCAATATTCATACGACATCATACCATTAAAACACGCACATACATACACGAAATTACACACAAACACAGCCACCCACGTGGTGGCAGGCGGTGGTCGAAGAGCGATAAGGCGACAACCGCATGGAGGCGACGATAGCGATCGGATGACTGCGGCGTTTCAAAAGGAATGGAGAAGAGAGGGGGTTGCAGCAGCAACACACACATGTGAAACATGAACACCATACAGCCACCCACTCATGGTGGCATGTGACATTCGGAAAATAATGGCAATTGGGACAGCCGCTCAGAGCGGCAACGGCGAGACCCGCTGAAACAACATATGAAGCGAAGAGGATGGAAGAGGAACGGGTTGCACCATTACTGGGGAGAGGCAACAGCGGCCGCAAGTCTCGATCTTCCGACTGCCCACTAATACGACGTCTAAGCGTTGATCTTCGTCGTTGTCGGCAGCGGGAGCAGCAGTGGTGGTGCTCGGTTGTGACAACCAGAAAATTTTGGAACAAGCAAGGTTTAAATTGCAACCGTGTACAAGTGAATTCACAATAAAGCATTGTTGTGATAGGATTTTGAAAACCAAAAGAGCATTGTTTGTATAAGTATATATGTCTCCATACTTTGAAAATCATATTTGTAGTAGACACTTAAAGGTTAAGCAAAGCCAAATCGTAGGAACATAAAATCATGAATTCAAGACATTTCTTTTTAGTTGTTGACCTAGGAAACCTAAAACCGAAATCACCCTTTAAAAAGGGAGATACCAAAAACCGAAATCAATAAGAAAGATTTCTAGGGCCGAAAACTCCTTTAAGAGAAGATGCAAAACCGAAATCACCCTTAAAAAGTGATGCTAGGCCGAAAACACTCTAGAGCAAACAAGTTAGACCTAATCTCAAAGGTGATTTCGGTTATAATAAAGAGAAAAGTGACATTTTTGATAGAATAACTCAACCTTACTCTATTTTACCCAACGAACGACCATGCACCACACTCTCTTACCTTTCAAATAACCACACAACACACTCCATTAACTGTCAAATATCCATACCCATTTCTTCTTTTAAACCACGGCCAGAAGACCATCTACCATTCACCAACTCTTTTTCTTTCATTATCTTACCTTCCTTCACCTTCATATTTCAAAACTTCTCTCAAGAACAATAGCCAACGTTTCCCAAGATCATCATCAACAAAGTGGTACTTAGAATTTCGGGTATCATAATCTCCAAGAAGTCCATCAACCACATACTAGTGTTTTAGGCTCGAAATCTCTTCACAACACCTTAAGCAACCCACAAATCAGCTCAAGGTGAGTTCATACCCCCATGTTTTCAAGTTTTTTTTTTATGTTTTTAAAGGGGGGGGGGATATAAGTAAAACTTTGTTTATCACATCAATATTTACATGTTTTCATCTTTATGTTAAATACATGGTTAATACTAGTTTTTGTACATTATTTGTGATATATTACTTTGAATTGCAAAACTAACAACACAAACATACTTTATGTTATAAACTCATACGAAAATTTATGATTTGTAAAACTACAAGGTTTTGGAAACTTTTACAAAAAGATAGTTTTCCTGGTAAAGATGGTTACAACACAGTCAACTACTATTTTGGTGGATTACAACCCAAAGATATCATGTTTTGGTTTCATATTTCAACACTAGACAAGATTTCAACTTTATATTTATATAAAAGTTCATATAAATAGTCTCAACAAAACATAGTGGATAAACTATAATTGGTATAGTTTGGGAGTTACAAAACCACACTTTCATTTCAGAAGAACCATATAACTATTCAAAGGTATAATTATTTAAAAAATGGAGTCGTAGTTCACGTAAATTTGTTAATGCTCTAGTGAGACATTCTCTTCACCGTACCTACCTAGCGTACACTTTAAGTCCTGCATTATAACCAGAGTCTCCTGGAGGGAGAGCGAGATCGTTGTGTATAGATCTATACGGGATTGACAACCCCACACCTCAGCTGTTCGCTACAGTTAGACCGGCAAGTCCAGGGTGACAAAAGTCTACTGATTCCGACGCCTGAAGAACGTCGTTCATGCATATCATTCATATTAAGCATGGTTATAATAACTCACATAGGGATTAACTATACTATTTGGTTTACGGGAAGCTTACACCTCATCAGTTTTATAAAAGAATAAAACTACATACTATCTTCAGTACAACATTTCTTACATTTTTTCTTAAGAGTACTTTGTTCCATTCAAGTGTGTAAGAGTAAACTTGAATCTTATTAACCTAATTGATATATAATTATATACCTTACAAGAGGCTTCTTATATACATGGAGCATAAGTAACATGTGCCATACCCCGTCATGGTGGAAAACAAAACAAAATTGTTTTAAATACTAATCTACAAAATGTTGGAATCAAATGAGATTAAATGTTAATCGGCAAATTTCCTATTATATCACATCAGTGGAAGGAGGAAGAAACTTTTATGGCTTTATAAGACTTAATTTGCCTTAAACCTTCAAAGGCTTTAGTGAGGATTAATGAATGTGCCAAATCCATACGTGAGCCTAGTCGGGCTGAAGACACGAGACGTAGGGTTTGCAATTTAATCATACGTTGCATGGTAGGCTGAGGGGCTCTTATTCATGGGTAACCTCTAGGAAGTCTCCAGGGATAAGATAACCTCCAGGTTTAAATTTAAATTCGAATAACATTCAGTTTTTTTTTTTTTTTTTTTTTTTTTTTTTTTTTTTTTATATTAACTAAGACACGCGTCCACTACAAATAGGACCCTTTATATCCCATATAGTAAAAACCTTTAAGGACATGACTAATTCAATGTAATTAGCAGACATGATCTCCAATTCTAGGTTGTGATTATTTTCTCTATCTCGTTTTTTAATTCGCCTGATAATGTGACTTCACATTTTACCTTTCTTACAATCAGATATGACAATGAATGAAGAATGATCAAACTGATTTTCAATCGAAGGTTGGTAAACAAGTAATAATATTTGAAATTATTATTTGCGAGTAATACACATATAATTCTTAATATTATTTGTTGATTTGTTTGCTTTAATCTTACTAACAATTCAGAATTAGTTCGCAATACTTATCATCAAATTGTTTGTCTGTCAAACCTGAAACACAAAATAAAACACACACAATCACTTTCATTTCAGTGAATTTAGTTATAGTGATTACATTAAGCGTTTTTTGATGGGTCAACTTTTTGAGGGGAGTTTGATATGACTTTATTCATATTAAGCGTTTTTTGATGGGTCAACTTTTTGAGGGGAGTTTGATATGATTTTATTCATTTATATGAAAAAATATATAAAAAAAGTAGTAAATAAATCAATTTTGGATTAGAAAAGCCATGAATTTACATCTATTGGACTATGAGTTTTTTAGTTGGAGGAGAAGAAGTATAAAAGGTATGTGGATATATGTTTTCAAAATTATTAATAATATTTGACAATGAATTAAAAATGTATATATTGTTTACGTTTTGTATACGTTTAGTCATTCATGTACTTTTTTTTGCACATTATACCAGTGAACTTGTTTGAATTGTCCACATTACGTCCTTATGATATGTTGGTGTAGGTTTCCGGCCACAAAAAGAATTTTCTGGTCTCCTTGGCAACTCCCAAGAAACTCCGATCAATCTGGAAAAACATGATTTTTTCAGCAATAGGATTCTTAATCTTCATCTTCATTATATTTAGAAAAACACATTTATTATTTTCAAACCTAGGAATCTAAACAAATCTCAAGAAACTCAAACCCATGAATCTATGATGCTCAAGAACACATCAAGTCAGAAGTTAGAAAACCTACATCAAACTGAGAGCTCGAAGTTAGAAAACCCATAGATTCAAGTTTCCAGAAATCGAAGTAAGAAAAAAACATAGAGATTCAAGTTTACAATTTTTCGATTTAAGGTGTTCATGTATGTTCAACTGGAGAGAGAAAAAAACACACATTTTCACATCCACCCGCCCATATATCTCATTTAAGGTGTTCATCTGAAAGTTTCCGTAAATCAAACTAATAAAAAAACATACAAATATTAATTTGTCGAGTTCCATATGAAGATGAACTCCGGTTTGCTAACCTCTCCCTTTTTTTTTTTTTTTAACACATCCATCGTAGATATCGAAAAAAACACTAGAAATCGTTTCAAATCTTCGTTCAAACACATGAACACATGAATGATTTCATTTTAGATCTTTGTTTTTTTGGGTTTATGATTTTCGTTCATAACTTTTAGAAGGGTTTGTTCGTTCATAGCTTTCGGATGAAGAACCTTACATGGAGATGAAGAACTAAACTTGAGAACCCGAGAACTCGATCTGATTTTGTTTGTGCGTGTTCATCAGATATGGAGTTCATAAATTTATTTTTGAATGTGTTCATCCGAAAACCAATCAACATATTTGATTTTTTTTTTGTGTGTGTGTATTCATCAAATATGGGGTTCATGAATGCGTGTGTGTTCATGAGTTTTTGAGTGTTTGACTAGAGATTTGATCGAAAAATTCATCTTTAGCCGAAAAACTCATTTTTAGACCGGAAAACCTACACCAACAAGTAATAATGACGTAATGTGGATAGTTCAAACAAATTCACTAGTGTAAATGTGTAATGTGGAAAAAAAAAGAGTGACACATAGAACTATCCTAAAAGAGTGATACATAGAATTATCCTAAACGTAGTTAAATAATTTTACATTTACCATAATATAGTTTAAGTATAAACAAATCTGATTCGTTTGTCTAAATCTAATCGATTTCAACCCTAAAATTGAAAAATACAAATCAAAGTAAATTTATTGAACACTGGGAAATGGATCGGAACAATTCTTCTTTGAATTATAAATATGAATCAAAATAATCAGATGATTAAAATGAGTATGTTAAAAACTTGATAATTGTTTTGTGTATATTTACGATGTTTTAATTAGTAAATATCGAAAATGGTTATAGAAGTAATTCGAAAACATTTGTAAATTATAATGCCTCTCGATAACCCTCGAATTCCCTCCTTTTACTTTCTTTAAAACAGAGCGAGTATTGGTAGCTATTCAATTGTTCAGGTGGGGAAAAGAAGAAAAGCTAAACTCAGATTAACTCACCGCCCATCGCTTCAACCTCGCCACCGGCGGCGGCGCACTGATTGATTTTTTTTCGTTTACTTTCGAGATCGTAACATTATTTTCATGTCACCGGCAGTCGAAGATTTTTTATCCCCATCATCGTCCTCCACACAGCGTTCGTATTTCCAGAACCCTAACCCTAGCGCTCAGGGACATTTTACTGATTCAGGTATATTCGATAATAGTTTCAATCTCATGAATTCTAGTAAACTTGATTTTGATTGTTCAAATGACGCGGCGGCAGCGGAAGCGGCCACTGTTCGTTCTTCGAGGAGGAAACACGTAAAAGTGAAGAAACAATCAAGCTGTAACGGTCCAGTGAGTAAAAAATCTGATAATAGTACACGTGATACTACTGGTTTCGTGTTCAATGCGACTACTAGTGGTTCAGTGTTAAGCTCGAGTTTAGGGCAAACGGGATGTGATGGGAATGATGAACGACAGCGTGATGGTGAGGTTTTGGATTTTAATCTATTGCGGTTTACCATGGGAGTTACTAATAATAATCAATTAGGAAACAAGATGGGCGCAGAAAAGGTACAGAAGAGTGGACATAATTTTCAGCCTGGTGATTTAAATTTTGTTTTTGGAGCTGATGATGAAAAGGGGGACAATAGAAAAGCTAGTGAAAGAGGTTCTAATAAGTTTGGAAAACTTAATGGTGTTGATATTGTGTTTGGTGCGAATATGAATAATGGTGTACTGAACTCGAATTCAAGCAATATTGGGCATGAACATGGGCGTGAAGGTGTAGGATTGCATGTAGATGATAGTGAACCTAGTGGAACAGTCAGAAGCTCAGGTATTGATGGGTTTATGAAGGTCAATAACTTCAAAACTATGCCTGATTTCCATCTGGTTAATTCAATGTCATTCTTAAATTTGGGATCAAAAGGATCAGGTGAAGCTGCACCCTCGATGAATAGCAACCTAAAGACAGAGGAGAACAATACATCAGATAGCATAAAATTTGAAAATCCGGGCTTTGTGTTTTCTGCCAATCATAGAGATTTTCAGACAGATTCGAATATTGGAAAACAAAAATCCGAAGAGAAGGTTGACAACTTAGCACCTGAAAGTGACAGGAATGTAGATAGTGGAGTAATTTTTGGAAACAGCCAAGTTAATGGGATCTTTCATATTGGAACTCATGATGAAAAAAGATCCAGCTTCAAGGGAAGCATGAAACTTGATGATGAAACCAACATTACGAAGAGTAAAGGAGCAGGAAGCTCTGATCACTTAAAGAAGCAAGAGGATAATGTAGATTCTGTTCTTGATGGTAATTCCACTTTTGTTTTTGGAAGTAATTTAGGCAATGCTTTCGGTGACAACCCTCAATGTAAAGTCCCCCATGACTCAAAGACTTCAAACATCCATGACCCCACAAAAGTTAGTACTACTAAGAATAAGATCAATGAAGCTGGAACAACCAACAACTTCAGCTTTTCAAGCAATGCTGGTGGATACGGGGCTTCGTTTACAGGATTCAATACACCAGATATAAACATTCCGGTTTCTTTCACATCAGATATGTTTCCTGGTTTAGGTAAGAAGTTAGAATTCAGTAAAAACAATTCTGTAAGCCAAAGAAAATTAAAAAAGACCAAGGCAAAAGTGAGACAACAATCTAGCAATCGTCCACAAGTTATCCTGACTCATTTATCTGAAGGAGTCACACAGCCTTCTGAGGAGTCTCCTGGATCTTGTTCACCTATGGATGTTTCTCCTTATTGGGGTGCTGACTGTGCACCAACTTCTACCAACCCTGCAACCTCTCAGGTTCAAAATGAAGATGCTGTTGATACTACAGAGAAGCTTGGGGCCCAAAACTTTTCACCTTCTGTTACATCATTTGCTAGTGCTGACATGGCAGGGAGACAACGGCCACATCAGAAAAAGTATAAGCTGAGAACTGGTCGCGTTAATGTGTCCCATTCTCATAAACCTGAGCACACAAAGGCTACAGATCAAGAAACATGTGACAGTTGGCGAAAAAGGTGTTATTTTTAGCCCCCTTTACATTTGTATAAACCTTATATGCTTTTGATTTCTGAAATAAATTGATTTGTGTCAGGGGAAACGAGGCTTATAAGAGTGGAGATTTATCAGAAGCTGAAGTATGTTATTCAAAGGGTATTAGTTCAATACAACATACAGAGACACCTGGCGTTTGTATACAGCCTCTTCTTTTGTGTTATAGCAATCGTGCAGCTACACGCATGGCTCTTGGAAGAATGAGGGAAGGTCTAAATGACTGTAGAATGGCTGCTGCATTAGATCCCAATTTCATGAAGGTCAACTTAAGATCTGCAAAGTAAGATTTCTATCTGTCAGTTACTTATCAGATAAGAAAAATCATAATCTAATTTTTTTCTTTTTACATCCTATTTCCAGCTGTCATTTACTTCTAGGAGAGGTAGATGATGCATCATACTATTATAACAAATGCTTGGAGTCTGAGGAAATCGTTTGCTTGGATAGGAGAATCACAATTGAAGCTGCGGAAGGCCTGCAAAAGGCACAGGTAACTAACTACATGCTTCATGTATGCATGTTTTGCCTTTGAAACTAAATTCCCAAATTACCCTTGGCAGAAAGTCTCGGATTATCTGAAGCTGGCTGCAGAGATTCTTGAACAGAAAACATATGAGTCAGCAACCAATGCATTGGGAACCATCACTGATGCTTTGTCAATAAGCTCCTATTCAGAGAAACTACTTAATATGAAAGGAGAGGCTCTTCTCATGGTATGTGATTCATAATCTTTGTTAGTTTAATAATTGAAATTGACTGATTTGCCCTTATGTATTACAGCTGGGGAAGCATAAAGAGGTGGTTCAACTGTGTGAGCAAACCCTAGATACAGCCGAAAAGAATTTTTCATCAGTATGCAAGATCTCATTAAGACTTTGGAGGTGGAACCTAATGTCAAAATCCTACTTTCATTTGGGTAGGCTTGAAATAGCTCTCGACTTAATGGAGAAACATGAGCAACTAAGAAGCAAGATTGTGGGTCCCGACGAGTCATTAGCTCATTTGGCTGTTACCATTCGTGAACTTCTACACTGCAAGGTATAGAATATATATATAGCTAACATTCTTCTTTGTTTCATATTAAATGTAATTCTAATTTTTTTTGTTTTTTGTTTTTGTTTTTGAGGGAATCAGAATGCAGGAAATGAAGCCTTTCAGAATGGTAAGCATACAGAAGCAGTAGAGCATTACAGTGCTGCAATATCAAAGAGTATAGAATCACACTCATTTGCAGCTGTTTGTTTCTGCAATCGTGCTGCTGCAAACCAATCTTTGGGTGAAATCATTGATGCTATTGGAGATTGCAGTATAGCTATAGCTCTCGACACAAGCTACCCAAAGGTATGCATTTTTCATTAATTTAATCCGTGTCTATATTTAAATAAATGATGTAACAAGTTCATAAAGTTGATTGCTAATTTCATATGGTGTAGGCCCTTTCGAGAAGGGCCACCTTACTGGAAATGATTCGAGACTACAAACACGCATCTGATGATCTTCAAAGACTCATCTCCATTCTTGAAACACAATCACAGAATTCACAAAACTCTCACAAGTCTGCAAGTAATGGCAGTGTGAAAGATCTAAGAAGAGCTCGACGTCGTCTTTCTATTCTAGAAGAAAAAGCAAAAAAAGAAAGATCCTTAGACCTTTATCTCATTCTGTAAGTTTGTTATTTTTTTTGAAATTAAATTTTCTGTTATCTTTATGTCTTATTATTATTGTGTATGATTGTTAGGGGATTAAAACCTACAGATGGAGCAGCGGATGTTAAAAAGGCGTATCGGAAAGCAGCTCTGAGACATCATCCAGACAAAGTCAACCAACAATGGAAAGCGGTTGCTGAATCGATTCAGATGGATGCTGACAGACTCTTCAAGATGATTGGAGAGGCATATGCTGTGCTTTCAGATCCCACCAAGGTCTTTCTTCTACTTTTTTTAACTTTTGAATCAAATTTCCAATTTTAACCTTGGGTTTGACTTTTTATAGAGGTCAAAGTATGATCTTGAAGAGGAAATGTGGGATGACATGGAGATAAACGTAGGCAGCAGTAACAGAAGAGGATCCGATTTTTTCGGTTCACAAGAATCGAGAAAGTCATACGGATATGGTAACGGTAACGGTAACGGTAACTCCCATTATTACTATTGGCAGCAGGAACCGAGAAAAAGTTACCATACCTCATATCCACGTTGGTAAATTCACAAGTCATAACAAACACCGAAAGAAAATTTAATCACACATGACATCCAAACATCAAGAAAGGATCATATTTTTATTACATGATGAATAAGGTGGAGGGATGTCCTGGAGTTGCATACATGGTCTACAGATGTATACATGGTGGGTGAATTGGTGAAATCTGATTGATTATTTTGTTCATTTATTATTGTGTTTATGCTTATCATTGTGACAAATACAATTGCTATTTGTCATTTTTAATGTTACTAAGTTGATTATCACAGACTGGAAAATAACTCGCACTATATACATCTCTTTTGAAAGTCAAAATAACTCGCTTTTTAATGTAGGTTTCTACTTGAATCTTAGATTAAACCTTATATTGATCTACTCTTTAAACTTAGATATATGTCTAATTGACCTGATTTTTTAGTCTCATGAACATAATAATCCAAGTCACGCTCAAATGTATGAAATATAATACTACAGTACTACAACTGTGTTTGGGCATTTTTAGATGGGTTGGTTCATATTTCGTATGCATATCATACTAAAAATATGGATTTTACACAATTTTGTCTAGGGCTGAGCAAAGGTTCAGACCCGTCCCGGACTGGACTGCGAACCGGAACCGGTTGAAAGGTAACAGTAGAACTGGGAACCGGGTTTCTTTCTCAGTTTCTGACTTCAAATGAGAAATAAAGTATACTCTTACAACTTTCAAACCACACCGACCTCATGTTCATTGGATTTTTTCTATTACTTTATACGGTTTTTACAATACAATAACAATTGGATTTCAACAAAAATAACATTTTCCATGCCTCTGTTCAAGCAGTTTTTTAAATATTTTACACTCAATCAGTTTCTTGTAAAAATAAGAAGTTAATTGTAAAAATATGAAGTAAAGTAGACTCTTATATCTTTTGGATGATACCGAAACTGGATTTTTCTACGATTTCATATGATTTTTACAGCACAACATATTACACAATTCTATGTCCAATTCCAAAACCTGGTATGGTTTAGTTTTTTAAGTGAAAACGGGAACCGGAAAACATAAAAATCTAAAAACCAGGAACCGTCTTATTTGTTGAAAAACCGGTACGGTCTCACAGTCTCGTATATGTTCTAGGCAAGTCCGATTTGGTCCAAATGGTCCAAATTCTCATGCCTAATTTTGACTATAACATAACTTTCAGAAAATAAAATAAAATAAAACTTGATCAAAATATGAAAGACTAATTATAGTTTTGTACATAACATAACTTTCAGAAAATAAAATAAAATAAAACTTGAGCAAATACAATTTTGTCTATAACATAACTTTTTGAAAATAAAATAAAATAAAACTTGATCAAAATATGAAAGACTAATTATAGTTTTGTATATAACATAACTTTCAGAAAATAAAATAAAATAAAACTTGAGCAAATACAATTTTGTCTATAACATAACTTTTTGAAAATAAAATAAAATAAAACTTGATCAAAATATGAAAGACTAATTACATAAAAGTACTTCGCCGTGTTTTAGTCAGATTCAGTCGCGATTAAATTTTTTTGCCACGACGTGTTGATGATGTCTACGTCGTGGTGTCTTCTCAGAGAATCTTCTAAAATTGAAACAGGTGGACATCGACTTTTTGTTTTCGAGTGTCTTTAGCTTTTGTCTTGTCTCTTTCCGGGTTTTTCTTGTCAAAATTGCACTCATCACTCTCTTCTTCTTTTTCTTCAATCGGCTCTGTGACTTGATCTGGTGGTCTTGTAAAAGCAAGCACCTCAAAAATCAGGCGTTGAAACTGGAGGTTTCAAATAATTCACTTCTTTTTCCAATTGCTCTTCGGGTAAAGGCTCCTCCCATTCCTCCCACTCTTCTTCCTTCACGTGTTCAAATTCATCATGCTTAAGGAACTTCTTGTTTTCTTGCCTCACCAGATTTGCTTTGGCACGAGATGGGAAAGGGAGAGGTGGTCGATATGGCTTAATGACAGAAAAATCATAATCAATTTTTATCGTCCACGACGTGGCACTATTGCTTCCACGTCGTGATGACTGGTCAGAATCACGACACTCTTATTCTTCTTTCTTTTTTATATCGAGTGATTGATTAGAATGCTCTTCGAGGTCCTCCATACGCACCAATTCGTCTTCTTCTTCTTCTGTATAAACGGCCATGGCTTGATCGTTTTGGATTGACTCGATTTTTCGTGAATGTGAATTCAATAGCTTTTCTTGTACAAGCCTTGTTAACTGCCCCACTTGCATACAAATACTTAAAATAGATTCTTTTTATTCTCTAAGTATTGCGTCTGTAGCATCATGTCGTTTTTCGCTAGCTTCCATGAATCTAAATAACATTGACTCGAGAACAAATATTTTCTCTTATTAGACTTGCTCAATTTGGTAGAGATCATGCTTAAGTTGTTGAATTTCTTTTGTATCTCGATGTACTCTAACTCACAATCCCTTGTAGAACGAGGTCCTCCATAAGCTCCGCATCTATCATGTACCATATTAATGGATCCACCCATCTTTGTGAGCCTATTTTCCATGACATCGAGCTTTGCCATTACCATTGTTAGGACTTCAGAAGCTCCATATCCATTCACTCTTCTTCTCGTGATATCCTCCCCCATTGGGTTGTGATACTCCCTTGAATGCTTGGCGAATTCTTCAATTAAACCTTTATTAGTGGCTGAATCCTTCTTTGTCATGGGCCCTTGCGAGTCTAGAAGTTAGCGCATGCACACATTGACTCCATCATAAAATATCAAAATTTCTTGTTGCACATTGAAGTCATGTTGAGGGCAATGTCGTAACAATCTCTTGTAACGCTCCCAAGCTTCATATAGCGACTCCCCCTCTAGTTGTTGAAAATTTTGTATGTTTCTTTTAAGCTTTGCCACTTTTGAAGGAGGGGTAAACTGGTTTATGAACTCGGTCTTAAAATCAGCCCATGTCGTGATTGCTCCAAAGGGAAGTGATTTTAACCATTCCTTAGCTTCACCCTTCAACGTGACCGGTAAAAGTTGAAGCATCACTGCTAGGGATGAGCATTTGGACCGGGGAACCGGCGGGAACCGGTACCGGAACCGGAACCCGATGGAACCGGTCGGGTCGGGACCGGGACGATATTCTTGTGGATTTTTGGAATCGGGAACCGGTAGGAACCGGACCTGGTAGAACCGACAAAAACCGGTTGAGCCGGCAAAAACCGGAACCGTATGTTGCTATGTCTCGATGACCGGTTCCAACATTGAAGACACGACAAGAACCGGTAGGAACCGGCGGTCCGGTTCGGTTCTTAATTTCGGCCGACTTCGGTTCCCGGGCCGGGTTCGGTTTGGGTCGGTTCCAGCCGGGTCGGTTCCTTTTCACATCCCTAATCACCGCATCTTTACTCACGTTAGGTGCATTAAAATAATGTGAAATCTCCACCACCTCTTTTATATGCTCATAAGCGTCCTCGTGTTCCTTCCCATATGTCATGCCCCCAAACCGAATAGCGGAAACGTCCGGGGGTGGAACGATGATCATAATATCACAATAATTGTATACGTTGAAACACAAGTACATAAACAACCATCATATCATATGATTATATTAGTTTCATGACCCAATGTTACTTAGTATCAAAATACATTACAAGGTTTGCATGTTATCAAATTAAGTAGTTCTCGTAATGGTATTTGGTGTCTTGTCTTCAAAAGTAGCTCCATTGATCCGAGCTTAATTGTTTCCTGAGATTACATGCCGTTTTAAAAGTCAACATGAAGTTGGTGAGTTCATAAGAGTTCAGTTGTAGAATAATCTGATATTTTTCGTAGGTGGAAATCGTATCTTCGTCTTGTAAAAAGTTTTGTATTTGTACGCCTTCAGCGTAAAAGAAGAATGTATGTGTGTAGTATGTATCCAAAAGCATTTATAAAATAAAAGTTCCCATAACTTCTACACTTATAAAAATGTGACTTGTCATGTGATTTTTATTATTCAAAAATCGAGTGTATAAGTAAATAACCATACTTATAAATGTAGTATATAGGTAAATAACCATACTTATAAATGTTGTGTATAGGTAAATAACCATACTTATAAATGTTGTGTATAAGTAAATAACCATACTTATAAATGTAGTGTATAAGTAAATAACCATACTTATAAATGTAGTGTTTGTTCCTAGAAAATCCAGTATTTCCTTTAAAATGAGTTGTAGTCTTAAAAACCCTAAGACCAAAAATGTATAAGTATTTATATACTTAAAGCAGTATTACGTAGTTTTATTCTTATATAAAACCATTTGAATGCATGTTACCCTGTAAACTAAATGTATCATTGATTTCCCATGTGAGTTATTACAACCATGCTAAAACCGAAGTTGGTCTGCTGCGAAGTTCTTCAGACGTCGGAATGTTAGGCATTTATCACCCTAGACCTGCCGGTCTAGCTATAGCTAGCAGCTTAGGTTTGGGATTGTCAATCCCGTATAGATCTATACACAAGTATCACACTCTCTTACTGAGATTCTGGTTATAATTCAGGACTTTAGTGTGTACTCTGGTAGGTACGGTGAAGACTTTGTCTCACATAATTGTTTCAACAAGTTACGTTTTAGTGTAATGAAAACCCTTGTATGTGTAAATATCACTTTTCTATAGTATTAATATAGTGTATAATAGTATTACCTAATGGATAATGGTATTATCCAATGTGTAAACACAAAGTTTTAATATTTCAAAACTAGACTTTTGGTAAAAATGTTAGTTTGTGTTTATCCAATGTGTAATAATATTATCCAATGGATAAAGGTATTATCCATCATATAATAGATCTAATACTAGAAACTTGTGCATATAAGGGAACGAGACTTGTGTGCTTTCTTTGAAAACATGAATATATGTATATATCTTCATAAAAAGAACATAAACATGCATGTACTAGTATTACCCAAAGGTTAAAAGTTTTATCCAACATATATTAGATCTAGGACCTTTGTGTAAAGTTATTTTCCAAAATGTATTTTGTTTGCATGGCATGTAACCTCCCCCAAAAGTGTAAAATGAGTGAAAACTAGTAGAAAAGGGGGTATGAACTCACCTTTTGTGCTTTCCCTAGAAGATGACAAGAAATGGTGAGAAAGATGAGGTAGGAATCAAGCTTTCGAAGACAACACCTCCTTGAACTTCAAGATCTTGCCTAGGGTTTTTGATTCAATAACCAAAAGATGATGATGGATGGTGGTGAATATCGAAAAATTAGGAGGAACACTTACCAAAAGACTTGCAAAAACACTTGTCAAAAGCCTTGAATCAACTAGAGAATTCTTGGAGAGTTTAGAGAGTATAGAAGTGAGATTGAAGATGAAATGGTAGGGAGGGAGGCCTGTTGGCCGAATTTATAGAAGGAGAGGGAGAGAGAAGAGTGGTGGTCGTTTGCATGGGAAGGGAAGATGTAAGGTGTTGTGAATATTTAATTTAGGGTAAGCTTTCTCCATTTTTTTATTCATGTAAGGTCCTTTGATTGAAATAATCAAGTAAGGCATTTGGATTATTATATTCATGGTATGGTTTCTTGATTTCTTTATTATAAGGGATCATGTTGGATATGGTAAGATATGTTGGAAGAATAAAGACATAATTTGTCTCATACAGTTTTTATAAAAACCTAGCCCTTTTTAAAACTGTCATTTTTATAAA